TTTGGGATGGCGCATCCGTTCAAACCGGATGGTTGAACCACTGACCCCTAAACCGGTGGCCAAAGCGGTTCCGGTTTTGAGTCGGCTTTTAAAACATTGCTAATTTTGACTAATTATCTCTAATTTTCACGAATTTTCCACAAAATTTCACTAGTTATTTAAAAATTTTAAGTACTTATTTACTAATTTTAAGTTATTATTTCCTAATAATTATCTCAGTAAGTATAGCAATTGATTATTTACTTATAATTATCAATAACTTTTAGTAATGATTTATTGAAAATTATTTCAATAATTAAGTAATGGTAATTATTTCAGTAATTAATGTTATTTACCAATAATCATTCATTGGTAAATGTTAGTAAGTGTTTACTATTAAATTTTTTACTGATAATTTTCATTAATTCTTGATTTTTATTATTTGTTTATTAATTTACTCAATTATTTACTATTATTAATAATATAATATAATATTGATTTTGAAAAAAATGAATATTGAATTAATTTAAATAACTGGATTAATTAATGTTAATTGACAAAATTAATTATTATTAAGTATTGTTGATTAATTAAAGAGTACATTAGAAAAAATTTAAACCAATTAGCGCAAGTAATTGACTTAAGTTATTGTTAATTAATGTAATAATTAGCATAATTAATTAATGTAATTAGAAATTGTTATTAATGTGATTAGTAATTAATTAAAGGGTAATTGTCCAAAACCCACCATCACTTTTTATGATTTCTCTTAAATTCACCGTAACTTTTCAAAACGTCCAAAACTCACCATATTACTGAAATTTTATTTTCTAAAACTCATCATCCGTTAGAACACCATTAAAGTTCAATGACCCAAGTTGTCCACATTAAACCTAAATGCATGTTTCTTGACTAAACTGCCCCTGAATGGTGTGAAGCTCGTATCTGACTTCGCTAAAATCATGCTTGCACCACCGGCTTGTTTCACTACGAAGCCCTTTTGAACTCTAGCATTAAGCCCTTTTGACCCACACTAATGGGATTGAGAGAGTACTGTCATCATCATCGACGAGTTTGTGGGGGGAGGGTTGAAATATTCGATCGTTGCAGAATGAGAGGAGTTGCTTCGTGACACGATAGTACGTTAGTACGTTAGTGAGCAGGCCTTTTGTGATATATGCAGAGAAATGAGTAGAGGAAGGAGGGTAGTTGACAGTTGAGCACCTTTAGAGGTGTAAAGTGGTCCGTCTGCACGGGCCGTGCCGTGCCGTGCTGTGCCGCACTCCCTAGTGAAAAATGGGGTTGGCCTGGCACGACTCATGGACCAAGCCCGTGCGGGCCCGTAGGTCGAGCTTTGGGCCATGTCGGGTTGTGCGTTGGACTAAAGCTATTTATTTAAAAAAATTGACAAAAACTTAAAATTTTAATTTTATATGAATTTTGTATATACAATAATTAAATAAATTAGTATACTAACATTAAAAAATTATTTATTTTATTAATATATTATATACTATATATTATTATATAATTATAATTTATATAATATTATATAAATATATATAAAATATATATATGGGTCGTGCTGGGCTGTGGCACGGCCCGCAGACCGTCGTGCCGGGCCAGTCCAAATTCGTACCAGGCTGTCTCAAACTGTGAACGGCACGACCGATTTACACCTCTAAGTGCATTCAATTAATGTATTATTCTGGTTGATTTTCTTCTCTCAGGTTGGAAGCAAGAGCAAATCCATTAGAAGAAAGATTTTAATTTGTTTCCTTATTTTTATAGGGTTAAAAGTTGGAGAAAAGGGACGAGAGAAATGATGTCAGGGGAAAGGTTTTTTGTTTGTAACTCAAAAACTTTTGCCAGAATTCTTCTACTGATTTGCTTTAGATTCGGACGACAATGTCCATATGTTTCTCTGGACCATTGGTATGTATAAGAGCAATACTAAAAAAACAATGAGAATGGAATAACTTAGTTAGTGATGACTGGTCTCTTGAATCATTTAAATAGAGAAGTTACAAGAGGATAACTATGTACAGAAGATAACAATTACAGAGTTAGAGTTTATCTAGGAAATTACATGGTAATGAGATAAGGTGATCGGTTATAGCTATCCTAGATAACCATAATCACTTATCTAGGATAGCTATCAGAGATACCCATCCCAGTTACAAGTCTATCATAACTATTGAGATACTCTAACATCCCCCTGCAGGCTTAGCGGTCTCTTGGAGACGGTAAGCTTGGTTGTAAGCTCTTGAAACCGTGTTAAAGGCAGCAGTTTAATAAGAATGTCTGCAATCTGATCATGGCTAGGAATGTGATTGATCAGCAAAAGGCCAGACGCAACTTTTTCCCGTATAAAGTGAACATCCAATTCTATGTGCTTGGTGGGAGAATGGTGGACAGGATTGGAGGAGAGAAACTTGGCACTCAAATTGTCGCACCAGATGATAGGTGGGCGAGGGAACTTCAATCCAAGCTTCGTGAGTAACAATTGGAGCCAAAGAATTTCAGCGGCAGTAGAGGCAAGATTACAGTACTCTGATTCTGTGCTGGAGCGAGAAACCGTGGACTGTTTACGGGAGCTCCATGAAATCAGATTACTACCCAGGTAAACACAGAAACCACATTGAGAGTGACGATCAACAAGGCAACTAGCCCAGTCAGCATCAGAAAAGGCTTCGAGAGCCGATTCTGGAGAAGCACGAAAAGTAATGACATGATCAATTGTGGACTTAAGATAATGAAGGATCCGCTTGACTGCACTCCAATGAATATCAGTGGGTTCTTTCATAAATTGGCAAACTTTGTTAACTAAGAAGTTGATGTCTGGCTAAGTAAGGGTAACATATTATAGTGCCCCCACCACACTGCGATATTCAGTGGCATCTGGAAGAGGAGAACCATTGCTCACACCAAGTCTAGTAGATGCCACCATCGGTGTATGAACGGGTTTAGCCTCATGCATCTTGGTCCTGACGAGAAGATCATGAATATATCTACGTTGGGATAGGTGCACCCCATCTGAACTCCGATGTAGTTCCAAACCCAAAAAGTAATGAGCTTCCCCAAGATCTCAAATAGCAAAGGTGGTAGAGAGCTGAGAGCTGAGAGATGAGTTGAGTAAGTGCTGAAGTAGAGGAGCCAATGATCAATAAGTCATCCACATATACAAGAAGAAAAATGACATCAGTTCCAACCCGCCGCATGAATAAAGAATTATCTACTCAATTCCAGAAAACCAAGGTGAAACAAATGATCCCTTAATTGAGTAAACCAGGCCCATGGGGCTTGTTTCAAATCATAAAGGGAACGCTTAAGACGACATATAAAATGTGGCCATGCTAGATCAACGAAACCCATAGGTTGTTTCATAAATACTTCTTCACTGAGATAGCCATGAAGGAAGGCATTGCTCACATGAAATTGTCTAAGATTCCAACCATAGTGAACGGCGAGAGATATTATTAACCGAATAGTGGTTGGTTTAACCACCAGACTAAAAGTCTCAGTAAAGTCAATACCGGCTTGTTGAGTAAACCCTTGCGCCACCAATCATGCCCCATATCTTTCAATGGACCCATTCAGACGTCTCTTAATCTTATAAATCCATCTATTTCCCACAATGTTCTTATGAGGAGGTGGAGGTACAAGATCCCAGGTATCATTGCGTAACAACGCTTTGTACTCATCTTCCATGGCGAGTACCCAATGGGGATCTTTCTTGGCAATAGTGTAGCAAGAGGGTTCAACTTCGGGGTCAACAGAGGCTTCCAAAGCATACCGATGGGGTCAACTTCGGGGTCAACTTCGGGGTTCAACTTCGGGTTTGGCTTACGAATGCCACTCTTGCTCCGTGTCATCATGGGGTGAGCATTAAGTGGGGTCGCAGTGGAGCAAGAGGGCATATCTGATGGGGTTGATGATGATGGTTGCAATTCGGTAGAACTAACACCAGCAGATATGATAGGTGGGCTAGGGGAGGTGGAGTCAAGGGGTACGGGAATGGTTTGAGGGTAGGTGCACTGGTATGTAATGATAGGAGGGCCAACCACAGTGTCGGAAGCCGATTTGGGAGGTGGAGTTGGGCTGCCAGAAGTGCATGGAAAGGTATGTTCATCAAAAACCACATTACGAGAAATATATAGACGTCCAAATGTTAAGTCCAAGCATTTGTACCCTTTGTGACGTATATTGTAACCTAGAAATAAACAATGCTTGGATCGATAGTACAACTTAGAACGATTATAGGGTCTGAGGTGCGGATAGCAAGCACATCCGAAAGTGTGCAACATAGTGTAATTAGGTTTAGTGCCAAAGAGACACTCTAAGGGAAAATTCATGTCCAGTATTGGAGAAGAGAGTTGGTTAATTAAAAAAGATGCAGTCTCAAAAGCATCGTACCAGTAATGTTTGGGCATTGAAGCCGTAGCTAGGAGGGTGAGTCCCATTTCAACAACATGGCGATGGCCTCGTTCTACAACCCCATTTTGTTCATGAATATGAGGACATAAGAGACGATGGGTGATTCTTGAATCAGAGAGAATAGGGAGAAGTGGTTTGTATTCTATACTTCCATCCGTTTGCAAAGTTTTGATAGAGGTGATCAATAAATTCTCCACATTCTTCTTAAAAACAGCAAAAACAGAGATAACCTGAGTTTTAGACGTCATAGGAAAAATCCATATATACTTGCTGTAAGCATCAACAAAAATCAAATAATAGCGAAAACCATGTCTTGTAGAGACAAGGGCCCCAAACATCAGAAAATAAAAGTTCTAATGGATACTTTGCAACAAAAGTACTACTAGAAAATGGCAAGGTATGACTCTTGCCTAGTGGACAGGATGGACAAAAAGAGATGTCCTTATTTGAAACTAGAAGTTGAAATAAAGATAAGATGTTGACAGCTACTCACTTGCTGGGGTGTCCTAGCCGCTGATGCCATACTGAAAATGATGCTTTCTCACCAATAAATGTCGATGGAGCTGCAGATGTGCAATTTGTCTTTAGTTGATAGACCCCTCCCTTAATCGGCCCTTGGAGGAGAGTTTTCCCAGTCGCTTTGTCCTTAACAGAGAAGCCAATAGCGTCAAAAATAAAAGTTGCATTATTATCCTTACAAAACTAGCTGACAGAGAGTAAGTTCTTAGATATATTAGGAACTCTTTGAGAATATTTTTCAAGACAATGGACCCAGAATCATTATTCAAAATAGAAGAGCCAATATGAGAAATGTCTAGACCCGTACCATTGCCGATCAGGATATGATCTGTTCCATGATATTCATCATGAAGAGAGAGATTCCCAAGATCTGAAGTCATATGATTGGTTGCTCCAGAATCAGGATACCGATTTTCATCATGAGTAGATCGTGAAGATGAGGTTGTATGAGCTTGCTTGGTAGGCTTATTGGTAGTGAGTTCTAGATAACGGCGGCAAGTAGCTGCTGTATGGCTAGGATACCCACAAAGTTGACAAACTACAATGACGTTCTTGGAATTGGATTTGCTATGGTTATTGTTATTATAGGAAATTTTCTTGGAGTTGTCAGAACTACCATCATTATTAAATTGTCGAGGCTTATAAGAAGAGGACTGATTGTGATTGAAGGTTTTCTTTTTATTGGACAAATTAGCAGAAGGAAAATCCAATACAGATTGTGAAGAGTGGCGCTCTAAGCGCTTTTCAAAGGTAAGTAACAGACTTTGAATTTCAACAAAAGAAAGACTATCTAGTCTAATAGTCATAGAGAGCACAAAGGTATCATATTCAGCAAGTAAACCACCAAGAAGATAATGAATTTGATCAACATCAATGAGAAAGTGTCCAGAAGCAGCTAAAGCATCATATAAACTTTTAATTTTCTGAACATAATTAGTGATAGTGAGAATACCCTTCTTTAGATAAGCTAATTCTAATTTCAAATCATGGATTCGAGTTTTACTGGTAGATGAAAAGAGAACATGAAGTCGATCCCATACCTCTCTAGATGTCTTACAACCAACTACTTGGGCCAGAACTAGCTATGTTAATGAAGATAATAACCAACTTTTATGATCAACTGGTCTTGTTTGACCCATGCTGCATGATCCAGGTTGCTGCGGCTAGATCCTTGGCTACTACCATCTTCCAAGAAGAGTGGAGGACAAGGAAAAGATCCGTCCACATAGCCGTACAAACGATGCCCTTTGAGAGTTGGTATAGTTTGAAAGCTCCAAAGCAGGAAGTTAGTATGATCCAGTTTTACTGAGACTACATTCATAAAACTAGAAAGGGTGACCACCATAATGGTTCAACCATCTATTGATCCAGGCCGCATTTGTCTCTAGAAGACATGAGCAGTGGTGCTTGTTTCTGAAGCCATGACGTTTATCAAAATGACTCTGATACCATATAAGAGCAATCTAATAAAACAATGAGAATGGAATAACTCGGTCAGTGATGACTGATCTCTTAAATCATTTAAATAGAAAAATTACAAGAGGATAACTATCTACAGAAGATAACAATTGCAGAATTAGAGTTTATCTAGGAAATTACATGATAATGAGATAAGGTGATCAGTTCATGATCAATTATCTACTGTGTTGCGGTGACTGCAACTGCAGTTAAATGAACATACAGGTTTCTATTTTTAGTAGTTTTTAAAACCTAGAATCTTACCAAAAATTGGAATTTTGATGTTTTCACCGACCTCTCGTCTCCGTTCTCTGCATTCCTCTCACTGCCTTCTCCCCCCATTCTAACTGCCCAGAGAGCTTCCAATAGGAACAGGGAGGATTAGTAAAGCAAAAGAGGTACTGCATCCCTCAAACTGCCTTCTCGTCCCTCTGCATCCCTCTCATCACCAAAGAGGTACGGCATCCCTCTGCATCCCTCTCACCGCCTTCTCGTCCCTGTTCTTTGCATTGCTCTCATTGCCAAGCCCCCAAAGAGGTATGACATCGGAGAGTGCCATGGCGAGTGCTGGCCCACTCCGGCTGCCGCTGACTTCGGTGCTGACGCTGTCGTGGCCGCTCTGATTGTTGTGCCGAAGGTATCACCTGTGTCTAAAACTCCGACGATCACCTCACTGGTCGAGTCATATTGAGAGAACAGTCCCTCGTTCTTATCTAGTTCGACTCTGGTGTCCGATTGAATAGTATTAAGCTCGTATCTGGCTTCAGGTATGACAGAGAGAAGTAGTGAATAACGTTGTATATCGTAAAATGGACCGAATATAATAAAGGGTAAAATATTAAATTAACAATGCCCGCTAATCAAGTTATTGTTATCTCAGTGATATAATGAGTTTTGGACGTTTTAAAAAGTTACGATGAATTTAAAAGAATTCATAAAAAGTTAGTGAGGGTTGGTTTTGGACAATTATCCTTATTTTATCGTTAATTAATAAATACCCATTAATTGGTAACCAAAGGAATAAATAATTGGTTTCAAATTTAAGTAGCCGGATGAAGTGAGTTAATGCACGTAGTCGAACAGGAGAGGACTAACATAATGGGGCGGTTTGGTAGGGAGTTCCAAACAAATCCAACCTAAATACCTGATAATCCCTTCTTCTTAACACGAATGGCAACTATGGAGTCTACAGTGTTCACTCCATATAATCATTTGGATGTGGAAAGGAGTCCTTACTAATTGGTAAACCTTTCTAAAGCCGTTTTTTAGCATATAATCAATGAAATGAGCTACAATAGATTAATCATTGAAACATTGAGTTTAACATTTTTTTAGTCTTAAGAAGTGGGGTTGAACTCCTATTTCTGTATCTCCCTTGCAAATCTGAAAAACCTCTGACTCAATATGGGACATGAGGAGAAGCTTCAAATGAAAATCTAGAAGAGAATAAGAGATGGGATTAACACAGATATGAAGTTAACATCGGTTTCTTGGTTAGTTAGTTCTTGAAGCATAAAGTAAAAACACAATTTCTAAGTCTGTTAGATTTCGAAGCAAATACGAAGAAATGAGGTTGAACGTAGATTGTGGGTCTGTTGTCAAAGCATGAAATAAAAACTTAGCACAAAGTTGTTGGTAGTCATAGAATTATTATTATTATTTTTAAGTTGAGAGAACAGGCTGTACAAAGCTTGTGACGTAGTGGAAAAAAACCAATTTCGCTCTCTATCATCACTTTCGAACAAGGGAAGAGTCTTCGTAGAATTGTAGTGATTTTTTTCGGAGTTTCTTTTTACATAGTATTGGGGTCATGGCTGAACTGGCCATGAGGCTCTTGGCCATCTGTCACAGCTCGACCACGTCGGTATAGTCCAGCCAAGCTACGACATTGTTAGGATCCCGTCGACCACGTTGGTTATGCCCCTCAGGGATAAGCTTGCCTAACGGATAGGGGTGGGAAGACAACTCCGCCGAGGAGTAGGACTCTACGCCCTGTAACCTTGGTGGGGAGCTCTGCCCTGATTTTCCTGGAAACCTACTCCGATCAGGATACAAACCCTTTGGCTATAAAAATGTACTCCATGCTTAAGGTAAGGGACTTTTGACTTCGAACACCCACGCTACTAATTAGCCCGGACCAGCATCCTTATAGCTCGGCCCGACCATCCACCACCTCCTACAGACTTGATCGTTAGAGTATTTACCCGGGGGTAATTCCTCGGGCCTCTGACTTCTTCTTTGATCGCAGATCTTGAACCACGACCTTGTCCTTGAAGCTCGGCCCCGACCTGCCAGCGAGGACTATCTGATTGTCATCCTCGGTTCATGCACTACCTCGGATTGAGCAGCATCAGATTGGCGCCGTCTGTGGTAACGACAAAAAAATCCTTTCCCAAAAATCTCATTCCTCGCCACGCAACTAAGAAAGCGATTAAGATGCCTAAAACCCAGTCTAAACGATCAGCTGGCCATTCTCCATCTCGGGAGAACCAAGAAGCCACGCAACCTTCAACCGTAGTAGATCTAGCGCAATTCCGAGCCATGCAGGAAAAGGTTGAAAAGATCTTCGAATTCATGCAAACACTAGGGTCTGCCGCACCACCCAACCGGGCTGTCCCCCCTCACACCCCGATGCGCACGAAGGACGACCCTCGGACCGAGGACCCCAAAGCGCGCCGATCAAACGTAAGGGGAGAGTAGTCTGAGCGTATGATAAGACACGACCCGAAGGCCCGCCGCCACTGCCCATTCCCGTGGACGGGACTATCATAGCCAGACACACTAGTCAGCGCGCATCCCCACCAAAGAAAGGCTTAACAAAAGGATGCCGCCCTTCATAGTCTCAGTCGCCGAGTCAAGCTCGGCAAGGATCATCCCGCATGACCAAAAAGGAAGGCCATACACACTACAGCCCCAGGCAATAGAGATGTCGAAATTAAAAAGCTCTGACGTCTGAAAGAGTTAGACCACACTTCTACCCATAAGAGCACAATTCCCGTAGTAGACCAACCTGTGCAGGCCACCGCGCATATCACAAAAGAGCCACCCTTTATTCAGGACATAGTGGATGAGATACCCCTTGTCGGATGGCGAGCCCCCTAATTCGACAAGTACGGCGGGAATTCTGACCCCTTCGACCATGTTGCGGCGCTCAAAGCCCAAATGATGCTACATGGTGCATTGGAGGGATTGATGTGCAAAGCCCTTGTAACCACGCTGCAAGGCCCAACCTTGGCAATGTACTCCCTGCCGCCGAGGTCTATAGCATCATGGGCCCAACTGGAGACCCAGTTCCTGTGACAGTTCATAGGTAGTCGAAAGCATTGGAAAACCTCGGCCAACCTTATGCAGTTTCGACAGAGAAAGTCAGAGTCCCTTAGAGATTACCTGGCGAGGTTCAACAAAGAAGCACTTCAAATCAGGGACTTAAATCATTTAGTTGCGGTGACGACCATACAACACAGACTCTTCCCTTCCCCATTCAACTTCTCCATCTCCAAGAATCCTCCTCAAACGTTGTCCGCGCTAAAGAGCCACACACAGAAGTATATCAACGCTGAAGAGGCCCAGGCACAGCTCAGAGACGAGGATGAGAAGCCCGACAGAAAAAGGAGAGAGAACGGAGAGCGGAAGTCTGAGAGGTCGGACAAAGACCACAAGAGACAAGATCGCCGGACCGACCATAGATCTCGCACCCCTCCGCCGACCTATCGGAATTTCACGTAACTTAATATTCTGTGATATGAAGTTCTGATGCAAATCCATGACCGCAACTATGTCAGGTGGCCTGAGAAGATGAAGACGCAAAGTAACAAGAGGAACCGAGACAAATATTACGAGTTCCACAAGGACCACGACCACGATACGAAGAACTATTTTGACCTACGTAACCATATTGAAAATTTAATTAGGTGTGGTTATCTCAGCGGCTTCATAGACAGAAAGGAGAAGTCAACCCAAGAGGAACGAAGAGCGGACGAAGCTCGATAGCCCCCACCCCGAGGCCCACCAGCCGGTGTCATCCACATGATATTGGGAGGAACCGCCTCCGGAGGGGAAAGCAACTCGGGACGGAAAAGATATGCTCGACTGTGCAAGATTGACGACCGAGGTCATGGGAGGAGGCGCAACACATCTATCACCTTCACCGATGACGACCTCCGAGGGGTCCAGACACCACACGACGATGCCTTGGTCATCATAGCCAAAGTGACCAACTTTGAGCTACAACGGATCCTAATCGACACAGGGAGTTCTGCCAGTATTGTTTAGTCCCTCCAGCCCACTAGGAGGACAACTCTTCCCCTCTTGATCGGAGACGGTGACGGCCATGGTAGACTTCATTGTGGTGCGTTGCCATCCAGCAACCGAGACATTGATGGCAGAAGCATATGACCTGCGTGACAAAGTAAAGGCACAACACGGCTGATCCGTGGAAGACCTCGTCCAGGTCCCCCTATTTGAGGAAGATCCCGAAAAGACGGTCCAAGTTGGCTCCCTTCTAGGCGACCACCTTCGAGAGGAACTTGTTAGACTACTGAGGAATAATGTTGATGTATTTGCTTGGTCGGTAAAGGACATGCCTAGAATCGATCCCGAAGTTTTCACACATCGGCTGAACGTTGACCCCCGTTACCGACATGTGAAGCAGAAGAAGAGAAACTTCGCCATAGAGTGATGGAAAGTGATCGCTGATGTAGTACAGAAGTGGCTTGACGCCAAATTCATTAGGGAATTCAAATACCCCGATTGGCTGCCCAACTTACTGATGGTGTAGAAGGCCAACAAAAAGTGGAGAATCTGCATTGACTTCACCGACCTAAATAAGGCCTGTCCCAAAGACAACTTTACTCTGCCAAGGATCGACCAACTCGTTGACGCAACAGAAGGACATGATCTCCTAAGCTTCATGGACGCCTTCTCAGGCTACAACCAGATCCGAATAGATCCGAACGACCAAGAGCGAACGGCCTTTATCACTGACCGTGACCAGTACTGCTACAACTTAATGCCCTTTGTCCTAAAAAACGCCGGCGCCACCTATCAGTGGCGGGTGAACAAGGTAGTTAAAGAACAACTCGGTAGGAACGTGAAAGCATATGTCGACGATATGTTCGTGAAGAGCAAAAAGGCCAAACACCACCTGGCTGACCTCCATGAAGTCTTCGACACACTTAGAAAGTACAAGATGAGGTTAAACCCAACCAAGTGCGCCTTCAGGATTGACTCTGACAAGTTTCTGGGGTTTATGGTAACACAAAGAGGAATCGATGCAAATCCAGAGAAGATAAAAGCCATTCTTGACATGCCATTCCCTCGGACCCACAAAGAAGTGCAACAACTCACCAGGAGAATAGTTGCCCTTGGCAGGTTTATGTCCAAGTCTGTGGACCGGTGCCTCCCCTTTTTCAAAGCCCTCAAACGGCCAACGGACTTCCATTGGACAGAAAAGTGTGAGCAATCTTTCAAGAAGCTAAAGCAGTACCTGAGCTCGCCACCCCTCCGGATTAAGCCGAGCCCAGGTGATGAGCTATTGCTCTACCTTCTGGCCGGGGATGA